TATTAATAATAATAAATGAAGTAAAAATTTTCCCTTTTTTAAGAAACTTGAGCGAATGGAGGAGTATAAAATTTCGCATACTTATAGTTTATATAGACATTTTTAAAAAAATAATATTTACAAAAACGACATTAAAAAGTACACTCACTGTGTATTTGACACACATATGCACATATACTCTTTTGTTTATTGTTAAAGTCTGTGGTCAAATTGAGAATATATTAATATTATGTGTCTTCAATATTATTTATCTACTTTAGACCAACTTATGGTCTAATTTCGACCACCGGGTGACCACTTTATAACAGTTAGCTATGCCTATTATTATATGGCAAGCACTATATTTATTATTTATTTTTATTTATTTAAAAACTTATGGTACTTCCAAGTCAAATTTGAAATTACTGTACTAAAAAGCAGAATACCTTTATGGTTTAGAGCCGTCAATCATATCATATATTAAAATGGTAAATTCATTATTTATTACATGTATAATAATAAAAAAAAAACAATAAATAGTATATAAAATGGTATACATACATTTATGTATACGACTAATACTTATTAAGAATTTGTTACGTGAGTATATTTCACTATCGCTTATAAAATTTCGCGGCGTGTCAAACCCTATCCTTTCTCTGTAAAGCCATTTCGGTTACAGTCCTAGGGTTTCAATGGAATAAATTGTGTAATAATGTAAGTATTCCCTTGGCTTCTTCGCCCCCCGCTCATGGTGAATCATAGCATAAATGGGCGTTTTAGTTATTTATTTTATGGTTTCACTTTTTTATATTTATAGAATTTTGGCCTTGTGTTATAAAGGGGTGAAATATTGATTAAAGGTAAACAGTATACAGCACGTCTCGTCTGAAATTCAGGTACTTCAGATATTCTTCAGGTGTTATCGATGATTTCCCAACCGAGCTTTAACGATATTAGATATTATAGTAATGCTTAAAGTTTTTAATTTGATTTTAATTGATGAATGTAAAACTAGCGTTTTTCAGTAATTTTTGAGATTATCGCGAACATATGGTCAAATGCAGAGAAGATCTTTCATTTATAATATATATTCTCTAAAGTAAGTACAAGTAGGTACTCTCTGTTTTATAAACCAAAATTGATTATAAATATTCTTTATAAATATTCTTTATGCACTTAAATACATTTTACTAGATTATGAAAACTAACATACTAAAGATTAGTTTATAATATATATTATATTATAAAAAAATATTAGTATATAAAATAATGATAGTAATGAAACTGGTATAAACTTGATGTTAAATAACCACTATACTTATGGACGATTGAATCATCAGAGACATCATTATGATTATGCTGAGTTAAACTCTCTAGAACCGCTCTACTAAGAATAAAAGACATTTATTCAGCATTACTTAATATACTAACCTACAACCTGAACTGGTAACGCTGAAAGTGACTCCTACTTAGCATACATACCGAGCATAAGCAAACTATTACTGATTCAGTGGGGCCCCTATAAATGAAACAGAGTTCATAAAGCTAAAGAAGAAAAGATACGAATAATAAATACCAATACTATATTCTTTTTTTGGCCGTGCCTAATAATTTAGTTTGGAACTAAATTTATGAATGATGTGACCATTTAATTATTTTATGGTTATTTAATTGTTACAGTGAAATATTATAGAATTACAAATGACTTACTCAAATTAATATGAATTATTTTTAATATTAATCCAAAACTATTACTAAAATATAGTATTAAACGCTTTAGAAATCCACTAACAGGATTATCTTTCTGAATGAAGCCCTCATTAATTTTGAACTGAATAGATCTTAATGAAAACTTGTTCGTCTACGAAATCAATTAGAAAATAAATTAATCATTTGTCACTTATACGCAGCTGATGTACTATTAATATTCTGCTTTATTATATCTACAGAGATATCCTTGATTGTATGGGCCCAAAGTCACATCCTTGGAAGACGCCTGTCAATGATCGCGCCCCCACAAGAATCTAAATATAACTAAACAAAAACAGACATTTGATGTAGACTGGAAACAATTTAAAGCAACACCATATGATTCTTTTGTTTCCTTTGTTTTATTTTTAGATGCTTTTAAATACTGCGGCAGCAATAGGTTAAACATAGTTTAGTATAAATAGAAATAGTCGCTCAACGAGCTATGGAAAGAGCTATGCTTGGAGTTTCTATGAGGGATAAAATCCGAAACGAAGTGATTCGCCAGAGAACTAAGGTCACCGACATAGCTCTTCGCATATGTAAGTTGAAGTGGCAGTGGGCTGGTCATATCTGTCGCAGAACCGATGCTCGCTTAGAGTGGAGACCGCGAATTGGCAAACGTAGTGTAGGACGCCCCGCAGCTAGGTGGAGCGACGACTTACGTAGGGTTGCGGGTAGTAACTGGATGAGAAGGGCTGAAGATCGTGCCCAGTGGCGTGCCTTGGGAGAGGCTTATGTCCAGCAGTGGACTGCAGTGGGCTGATGATGATGAGAAATAGACCACCAGAGGTAGATTAAAAAGTTATCTGATTGGGTACCACAGTCTCACTTATTACAGAAGCAAAGCAAATTATAGGATAAGAAATTATCTTAGTCCTCTGAAATGGCAACGCATAAGTGGTATCACGGGTGTCCCATGATAACGTGATATCTGTAGTGCTGTTCATGTATAAAGGTGATAGTTACCGCTTATCATCAAGTGGGCCGTCAACTAGATTGTCATTCCAATTACTTAAAAATACTTACTTACAATATAATAAGTGTGTGTAATACATTTGATACAGGTGCTACTGTTGTTTAAATATTTTAAATTAAATTTCTACTCATAGCAAAAGATAAAATACTATTATTAATAAGGACATGGTCGGAACTATATTTATATGACAATATCCTGACCTAAATTCTCAAACAATAAAAGTAAATTTAAGACAGACTTTATATAGGAAAGGCCAGGGTCGCAAATACAGGTAATATCCTTCCCACGCAAAACAAAAATCTAAGAGAAGTCTCTACAAAATATAATTTATTTATAGAAGCTATAGAATATAGAATTATCATATAAGATACGGGCACTAACCTAATAATAAAATATAAATTTCATTCTAAGAGAAGAATTCTACGAGAGAAATTTGTGTCTACACAAGTAGCTTTAATGATATGTGTATGGAATTGAAAATAGCTTTCCTAAGTTATTTTTTAATATCATAGCAAGTAGTATGCATTTGTGCATATAATTTTAACATTTTGTTATTCAGCTCAGCATATCCAACCATCCGCATAATTAAAATTGGTAACTGTTGTCTACATACTACGAATATCGTGAGATCATTTCATTCATATTTTATGCTCATGTTACCTCTTATACGTTAACATTCCTGAAGACTGATGTTTTAATACTCTGTAATTTTCTATATTAGCCTGTTCTACTAAATTTATCTTATTTTAGTACGTACTTAATATGATTTTTTAATATGGAACAAATTCTCGGATATTTTTTATGTAAATGTGACAAACTTACATGTCATTCTCTCTGATGTTGAGTGCTAACCGTATTTACTTCATGTGACATCCGTAATATCAGTCCCGAGTTGCCATTCTGGAGGACTAAGACGTTATGCCTCTGTACTTACAATTATTCGTCTTATCTCACCTTTTAACCGAAACACATCTTACAAATTAATAAGCGTGGTACATTCTACTATTCTAAAAATATTTCATTAGTATGGTTCTCAGAACACACTTTTATATTTAATTCTATGTAAAGTACGATTAAAGTATTTAAAGTTTTATTTGTGTTTAAAATAACATTATTACTTCCCGTGTTCAAAAGTGCCTTATTTTCAGTATGACTTTTATATGCTCTTCCCCATCTACCCTCGTCCATTTATAACACAAGCAGCTATTACCATTATGAAATACAAACAGACATGGTACCACCTTCCCCGTTTATAATTATAGACCTTTAAACCATTAGCATGAAATTGGTGCTCGTTTCATAAAATTATGTACAAAATAAATACGTACATAGCATTTGAGGACTAGGCTTCGTTTAATTCCGAGGTATAAATTGCTGTCGTTTCATTAAATATTTCTAATGTACAGGATATTGACTTCCTTTACACGTTAGCGGTAACGGTGCAGTAGTTGGAAGTTTTTATGCGATATTATTACATCCTGTGGCGAGATGTGTGCAATAATTGGACGCTTATGTAAATATTTTATTTATGTAGAGTCTACACGCTGACAAAGTGTTTAAAAAATGTAAGTAATTTAATAAATGTAATAAGTTATCACTATCCCGTCTTCAATTGAAGAAAGTAGTGAGTACAAATTTGTATACAAGAATATTTTGTCAATATAAGTTTCTAATTGACTCTCCTACGAAGGGGAAACACCGACCTTTAACCAAAACTTAAACCAATAGACGCTAGACGCCTGGATTCAATTTATTTTTCTCATGCCACGATGATCACAAACAAGTATACTGTCCGTCAAGTGTTACGTTTAAAACAGCTCTAACATTTGATAACGCCTCTGACTACCGTTTTTGAAAAAACATATGAATGAAATAACAATCATCTAAACTAATATTGTAAATTATAAAAATTTGATTATTACTTGTTCATATTAAATGAGCTCCGAAACTAATAGAGCAATTTGAAATTAGAAACTTACATTTTCTTTAATGAATATAGGTGATAAAAAACTTTAAAAAACGTTTGGGATACATACGAAAACTTCAGTAACCCAACGTGTTAAAAATCATTCCATAAAATTCCTTATATCCCGTACGCTGCAGAAATTACTGATAATAGAGAAAAGTGAGGTACTACAGTTTTATAGAGGACATTAATATCGAAAATATTCGTACATGTGAGTGTGTTAAAATTCTCATTTTTTTGTTAAAACACTTGCGTGGCGGAGGCTGTTATTAACTAACATTATTTATTAATATTATTATTCAGTTATTAAAATTATCAACTCACCTCTAGGTCCTGAGCTGACTTGACACTGATACAACGCATCATCTTCCAAAGTCACTTCTCTTATATCCAATGAATAGTCACCTGAAATAATTAAAACATCAATCCCTGTACAAAGCATCAGCAATAACAGTTTGACGGCCTAAACGGTTTGATGGTCCCATTTTCGATTCCTCGTGCAATGCAATTGTATTCATGAGTGAGCGATTGTGTTGGTGTTTTCTACGTATATTATGTAGATATTTAAATATTAGGACAAGCTCTTCTTAGCCTGGGACTGGATGACGCTGGATGACGACTGTAAATTGTCCATTCTTTGCTTAATGGATTTTGTTTAATTCGGCTACCATGAGCATGTGTGAGACCACAAATATTCATTGCGGAGTCCTGAATACTGCTACTAGAAGAATACAAACTTCTCTAGTAGTGATCAAATTCAAATTTAATGATTAATCAAAATCTATGTATATAGATTTTGATTAATTATTAAATTTGTACTATATATGTAATTTTGAAGCTACAAAGACAGACTGTTCAAACTATTTATCTTCAGTATATTTAAAGTATTTACCTTCATCATCACTTCCAATCATCTTATATCGATCATATCCTGTCAAAAATCTGTGCGTGCCGAGACCAAAGTCATCTTTAGTCCACTGTAGCTGACCTGCCTTGCTGACTACTCTGCAAGGTAGTATTACTCTGGAGCCAACGACTGCACTCTGAAAGATTATGTTTATCTTAGTATTGGTAAATCTATAAGAAGTCCTCACGAATTTATCTACTAGAATAATGGCTAGGTATCTTAAATCTCATTATGTTTATTTTATATTTCAATATGTAGTTACGATTGATATTTACCTATTTACCTATATGGTTGAATGTCGTAAATGTTTACTCTGTGTTATCCGCCTAGATCTATGTATGTATGTATATTATTATTATTATATTTATTATATGTATAAAGGTATCCGCAGAATATCAGCGTCGTGGCACCCCGTCACGACATATGCTGAGCGGAGACCTATTTAGTACTACGTAATTAATATAAACCAATATGTAATATAAAATTTGAAAATTATTTTTTATTATTGTTATGTACCAAATAAACTATTTTCTTTCTTTCTTTTCTTTTTCTTTAAAAAAGAAGTAATAGTCATAAGGCTAAACAAATAACACTGTACTATGAATGCTGCAACACACAAAACTATTAGGTTGTTAGGAAAGTAATTTCGTTTTTTCCTAACTTAGGATTTAATTGTATTTTTTGCACTCAACTTCACACTTAAGCCGTATAATAATTATAGAATAACAACATTTATAACATCCTCAATCCGATCTCACGTGTTGTGTTATTCGCTGGTTGGCATCAACCAGTGCCTTATCATCTTCAACCGGCCTTCCCGAGGGGGGTGCATCTTCGACATCAAAATTGCCGGATCGAAATTTAGCGAACCAGTTCTGGTACTGGCGTACTGTTGTGGTAACACAAGGTGTGTTAACAGGACGCCATTGACCAGTAACTCCACACACATCGGTCAATTTCTTTCGGGCTTGAACAGCATTTTTGCCCTTTCTGTTGTAAAACAGAAAGATATGTCGAAAATGCTGCATAATCCTCTCCATATTGTTGATATGATTATATGATATCATTATTTAAGACATCCAAACATTTCGATTAGACGTATCAGACGTCTTAGTCACGGGACGACTTAAATAAATAAATAAATATACATCGCCATTTCATCGATTTCTATTGAACCGTATTTAATTTCCGATACTATTTAACACAAAGGAAATAATTCACAAACAATAGAATCAAACAAAGAAAAGGATACAAGGATATGTACAAGAAAATAGTAGATATTTGCAAAGAAAGATACGTAAATGGGATGAACGCTTTAATTCAGATTAAAGTTTGTCATCTGCATCTCCTATTTAGTTCTGTTTATATCAAGCAAGTGCCATTCCAGTAAAGCGATTTAGTTCAGCAATGAATTTTTTTAGAAAAACATCTATATTTTAACGACACCTTTATAAAACTGTATTTAAATTAAATCTAAATGACTGAATATTAACTTGTACACAGGTTATTAAAAAAACAAGTTTACTGAGTACAGCGATAATATTTTCATTATGTATGTACATAATTTCACTTATATTGATCCTAACAACAGTCTATTTTATTTTGTGTGACTTAAATAGTCTACTTTAATCTCGATTCTATTGTAAATAGCATAATAATTCCACATACATAGTAAACATATAACAGTGCACCTTAGATTTAGAACCTATAATACCCAAATCCCCTCTGATAAATTACCTTAGACACTATGATAGACAAAGTAATATGGCCACCATTGCTAAACCTTGAGGGTTCATCATATCACTGTAATATTTATCATTATCTTATTAGTATCAATCTTATCGTATAGATCTCCGATATAAAATAATTTCTTCTTAATAAATAAGATTTTCCTTTGGACTTCAATATGATTTAGCAACTGTATCGTATTGTTGGCATGATGTAAACCGTACACGGCCCAAGGCAAGGAATTTTTAATATCGTCAGATATTCTCAATACATGCCGTTCTGTGTCAACTTGCCTTTGGACGCTTCAGAAAATAATAATATCAAAAATAGATTAGGGTTTTAGTTACTCTAGTTTCTTTTTTATTTTGTGTTATGTTTACAATTTTGTATCATGAATTGTGTGATCTTTACAAATGTTACATTTTTACAAAACAGAATGATTATCACAGTAATTGTTTTTGTTATATTATACTAGCTGTCCCGGCAAACGTTGTTTTGCCTTCAAATAAAAACAAAAATTTAGGGGTGGACTACCCCTAATATTTAGGGGGATGAAAAATAGATGTTGGCCGATTCTCAGACTTACTCAATACGCTCACAAAATTTCATGAGAATCGGTCAAGCCGTTTCGGAGGAGTATGGGAACGAAAACTGTGACACGAGAATTTTATATATAAGATTAAGTCTAAAATATGATTTGCTTTGATATTTAATATTATAACAGAACTAGCCATTACCCGTGATTTTTTTGAGATATAAGATGATGTATATTCGTCTTTGTGCTACAATTTGTTTTCACGTCTTGTAAAGGTATCAATCATATTATAAACATACACTTTCGCATTTATAACATTAGTATAGTTATATTTTTTTATGTAATTTGATTGATAAACAAGCTGACGGCTCACCGTTTACCATCCGGTGGGCAAAAATATATCGTCGCTTAATTTAATAATAATAATAATTGACGGCCTCGGTGGTCTAGTGGTTCAGCACACCGCCTTACTTCCGATGGTCGCGGGTTCGATTCCTCGCACGGCACAAACATTTGTATTCATGAGTATGATTGTTTGTATCGGTCTGTGTATTTTCTATTTATAATATGTATGTATTTACGAAAAAAAAACCATATCTATGTATTTGTATCAGTCGTCTAGTACCCATAACACAAGCTTTAGGTAGCTTAATTTGGGTCTAGATGGCACTGTGTGAATTGTCCTGAGATTATTAATTTATTTATTATTAAATTACAAATACTTTTCTTACTACTTGTATAGTTTACTTCTACTACTTTATACTGTTCTTGTAATTATTAGATACACTAAGTTGTCGAAAAGGAATATAATCATTACATAGTATAAAACAAAGTCGCTGTCGCTGTCAGTCCCTCCCTATGTATACTTAAATCTTTAAAACGCAGTGGATTTTGAAACGGTTTTTTTAATAGACAGAGTGATTTAAGAGGAAGTTTTAAAGGCGCGAAACCGGAGCGAGTAGCTAGTTATTAATATTTTATCAATATTACTCGTCATCACGATTTGATCTCTGCAAGTTATAATAGATGCTATTAAATTTATAATGTAATGGCTCATCTATTTGCCAATCTGTCCTCATCAAAAATGACGGCAACTATCAGAAATTTTAATTCAATTAAATCAATCATCAACGTGACTCAATATAAATACTGAGCATTGATTACTAGACCGCAAACCCTTCAACTGTTCAAATCACATAGGGTTGCTACATTTTAAAAGTAAAAATAATATATTTATTTATTTGAAATATTTATTTTATTGGATGTAAAAAATTTTTATTTTATGTTTATTTTTTAATTATGGTAAATTAAGTTTAATTATATGTACATTTTATTTGCTCTTTTTTTCCGTTTGTTGTTTATATTGTATTTTTTACATTGCACTGAATAAAATATTTTTCTTTCTTTCTTTCTTTCTATTATTATAAATTCACCATGCCGCGCTGCTAGTGTGTTATAGCTTATATAGAATTTATTTCGCGCGCGCTTATTGAATTAGTGGTAGTAATATACATTTCGTGCTATATTTTTGTATCGTATTTACTACAGTTGACTAAAATATAGGACGATAATATCCGCTATATTATCGTACAGCCGCACTAAGACTTCCTAGAGCGATTACTCATGTTTTCTTTGTATATTATGTACATGTTACTTTAATAATGTAAAGAAATGTATTTAACTATTTCTATTAATTGTTTAGTAGTAATAACACAAGCTCTGTTTAATTTGGGGCTAGCTAATAGTAATAATATTCTTGGACAATTCTCATAGCGCCACTGAGTCCCAAATTAAGCAGAAATTGTGTTATGGATACTAGACAAGTGACATAAATACATAGATATTTGTTTTGCAAACACATACATACTATATGTAGAAAACACCCAGCCAGACACAAAAAATCATACTCATGAATACAAATGTTTGTACCGTGCGAGGAATCGAACCCGCGACCATTGGAAGTAAATCGGTGTGCTAAACCGCTAGACCACCTAGGCCATCAATTGATGGCGTTGTATAAATATTCCTGGGTTATTACTATCGTTATTACAGGGTGGAAACCCTACACCAAGGATTATAATCTAATTGGTAAAATATAATAGGCTTAACGATTTACCAAGCTCTAAAACAATACTGAATTCAAATTTCATTGGCAAAATATTGCTTAATTAAATAATTTTATACCAATAATTATTGTTTGCATCGAAACGTAATTAAGGAAAGTAGGGCTTGGCAGTTACTATGTAGGTTTGGTGAGCGACGAAATGTACGCAAATCGAGTGTTTTAGTTAATACAATACTAGGAATCGAATTCTAATTACCGTATTTAGGATTACTGTGATAAGGTTAACTACGTACTGGTTGGATTAAAGTATATTTGTTATATTATGTGTTCCATCGAATATACAACAGACAGTATTCGGAAGAATTGCTCGACGTGATGCTCACGGCTTTCTTTTACCATGGCACCACTCACCATCGACAGGGACTCATCCCCACACGCTGAAACCTGAGTGGTCCCGGAAGCTGAAGCTTCCTCCAGCGTACACTTATATTGTGGAATGAAATATCCATCAAAGATTTTTCGTGAGACTATAGGGTGAAGATTTTCAAGTGGGATATATTAAGTAGGCTATGCGCAAGTGACCCTCCTCATATTTCTAGCATCTATAGGGTACGAAAACCGTTTACCATCAGATGAGCCGTAGATGTATGCTTGTTTGCCAGCGTCGTAATACAAATATATATATATAACTTCACCCAGGTTAACTATTTTAAAGATAAGCTCGGCCTTGTACAGCGCATGTATCATATTACTATTCTTATTTCGTATGTTTGTACGCAATAAAGAATACAATAGAAAATAAAGTTTGTTACTTAAAGCTAGATCATTGACAAACCAACTATCATCAAATAGTGATATAAATCTACTAACCTGATCCTGAGGCTCGATTGCGAACTTTTGCTCGTTGAGTCCACTAACACAATTCACCAACAGACAAAACACTACACACTGCCTCACAAAATCATTAATATCCAACACCATCCTCAACAAAAGAAACAAAAAATTAGCACTCCTACTAGTAACCCTTGTTCTATGTTCTAACTTTCTTCTATTAGTTTTTACTTCACCAAATATTTCATTTGGCTTCATGTCTTCTTTACTACTCATACATTTATCATTTGTTATCTCATTTTGTTTGATTTCAGTATTTTTATCTGTAATATTATTCGATTCACTATGCTCATCTTTCTGTTCAGCTGCAATTTCTTGGTTTTCCATTTTGTATTATTTAAGTTTATTGAAGCCATAAGTTGATAGCATTAAACAGTATTCTTCAGAAATAAATTCTGTAATCTGTAGTACTTGTAGGCAGATCTGAAACAAATAAAATAAGAGTATTATAAATACAGTTTCATAACTAAAAGTAAACTAATTTTGAACTATATTTATTCGATTATTATTTAGATCATCACTAGATTATTATTTTTGTCTATTTATTAACTCATTATTTCACATATAATTACAATTAAAAGACCGTCTTTAAAATATAATAACTAATTTTGCAAGTTATCTTTAGGCATTTAAAGCGCTTACATGCTCAGATTTATTTTATTTCAAATATAAATCACACACACCTATCCAAAACTTTTTATAAATTAATCTAAATATATATAACTCAAAGGTGACTGACATAGTGATCTATCAACGCACAGCCCAAACCACTTGACGGATCGGGCTGAAATTTGGCATGCAGGTACATGTTACGACGTAGGCATCCGCTAAGAAGGATTTAAATCAATTCTGCTCCCAATGGGATAAAATAGGTAATGAAAGTTTGAATGAAACTTTGTCAATTATAAACCGATCGGGCTGAGACTGCATGCATAAAGCTTCTATGACGTAGGCATCCCCTAAGAAAGGATTTTGATAAATTCCACCCCTAAGGGGATAAATTAACGCGAGCGAAGCCGCGGGCAAAAGCTAGTATTATTATAAAAATTAATAAATATTTCATTTCAATTTCAAAAGAATCTTCATTTAAAAAGAGCAAGCCGTTTCGTAATTCGCAGAAAACAAAATACAAATGCTAGAAAAATTCTGCAATAACCTAACCAACATCGATATAGATGTCATACGACTTGTATAAGTCCGCAAATACTGCAAAACGTAAGCTTTGGAAAGCTCGCAGCACCGACGTAAACACGGCTAAAGCAGAATGTATTATTAACGCGAATATATAAATAAATCAGTTTGTAGTATTGCAACAGACGGGCACTCATACTGCACCATTTTATAGTTCTAGGAAGGAAGAGAGACACATATCATGCAGTTCTTACTATTGAAATAAGTCGTGAATCGAATTTTGAAAACATAAACGATAGAACTTTTATTTTAAAAACTTCAAAGTAGCTATTTTATCCTTTTTATAAATTCTAATATAACGTAATATTAGAATACTAATAAACCTGGACAATTCACACAGGGCCATCTAGTCCAAAAGCTAAACAGAGGTTATATTATGTAATACTTTTTTTTTTGTAAATGCATACATAATTTACATGTAAAACACTCAAACTAACCTTCAGACAAACAATAACCTTTATGAATAGAAATATTTGTATCGTGCCAAGTATCGAATCCGCCATAATCGTAAGTAAGGCCATGTGCTAAGTCGTTAAATTAATTAATTGTAAATATATTTTTTATTCATCATAAATGGCAAGCATGCTAAGTGCTCACACAATGATGAAATGGATTGAAGTTACTATCTCTTATAGAAAGTATAAAACTCAAAACTCGAACTCAAAATGATTTATTTAGCGACGACCTCGGTGGTCCAGTGGTTTAGCACACCGCTTTACGTCCGATGGTCGCGATTCCGATTCCTCGCACGGCACAAACATTTGTATTCATGAGTATGATTGTTTGTGTCGGTCTGGTTTTCTATGTATAATATGTATGTATTTACGAAAAAAATATATATCTATGTATTTGTATCAGTTGTCTGTTGTTGTTGTGTTAAACTAGCTAAAGCTTGTGTTATGGGTAGTATCCAATAAGTAGTAGTAGCTTAACTTGGGTCTAGATGGCGCTGTGTGAATTGTCTTGAGATTATTATTATAGTTACGTTATTTGCATAGGTCCTTTCGGCCTCTTGTACAAGCCATACTTTTTATCACTATCTCTAACATCCATTTCGCCTAGCTACTTCAGTATAGTAAAAGTCTTCTGTTCACAAAAATAATGTTCGTGAATCGGTTTAGAATAAACTATGTACAGTAAAAAACATGTAGTAAGGGCTCGGTTACATGGATATAATCGCTGTTTCTTTCTGACCATTTTACGTAATTCGAAGCGTGAATGAGATAGAAAGCGTCGCATATCCAACCTGTATCTCGCAGTTACAGTTCTTTCTCTCAAAGGAACTTCTAAATCTATTTTGCAACACTCGCAAATGAACAAAGAAACAATAAGATGTTTATAAAGGTCTAGAACAGATTGCGATCAGATCGCCATTTGTATCAAATAATGTAAATTTATTACTTTATTCTGTATCTAGTATAATAAAAAGTATAATAAATAAGAGTTAGTGTAGAATCTATACTTAGGGGTCATATATAAACTACGTGATGCGTAATTTATAAATGGACTATTAAATATAGAGTTGGTAGTAAAAGGTTACGCGAAAGTTTGTGAGTATGGATGGATGTTTGTTACACTTTCACGAAAAATCTATTAAACGGATTTTGATGAAACTTTACAATAATATAACTTATGTATCAGAATAACATATAGGCTATATTTTTATTGAAATTTAACGCGGGTGAAACTGCGGGCACAACTAGTATTATTATATAAATACCAAACTGAAACCGTCATATCACTATTACATATGCTATGTTAAACATATACCATGCACACGTGAGTCTTACAACAGCAAACACAAGCACTCACAAACATAAATGCAAATCCTAACATTATAGAACTACAAATATGTAGTATACACAAGTAGTTAGTAATTAGTAACTTGAAGTTAAACTCGAATTCGTCTAATTTATTAATATAGAATTAATACTTTAAAACAAAACTTCACTTAGGGAATGTAACTGGATCTCCTGCTTACAGGCCATTATAATGATCTAGTAAAGATACCAGTGACGTTATGTGACGTTAATAACCTTTATGGTTATATCTGACATTCCATAAATATATCAAAAAATTAAAATTTCATATATAAATACACAAAATGAAAAAAAAGAACGACCTCGGTGGTCTAATTATAAAAGAAATCTGCGGAAAATAACTCCCAAAGAGATAAAATTATTATTGTGAATATATTCTAATGTTAATTGCATTTATTCATTCATTCAAACACTATAACATAATAGATGCATCATATAAATGTTTTATTTATTAATGTTGTTTCATTAGATGACTACAAACGTACAAGTGGACGAAGTTGCGGTCGCTTCTAGTGTAATCTGTAAATACAACAAAATTATATATCAATACAAATATATTCATAAACACATTTGCACGGGAATCGATCCCATAGCCATCCGATGGTAAGACAGTCCTAAGTTATTAGACCATCAAGGTTATCATATTGAAGATTTTAAACTTACACAACTTCGCATAGTGCTGTTCTCATATTCCTTAGTACTAAATCTGTATTAAATTAGTACTCGCTAGTAAGTTATATTAAGTTTCAGATTAAATTAGAACTTAATTGATAAGAAGTAGGCAAGACTTTATAAATGGGGGGAAAATGGCGCCTAAGTTGAGACTGCAACTCTGGCATGAAGATACTCTCAAAAGGACAATATAAGAGAATTACACAAGCCCGTACCTAGTCTGCGACATACTGCGTTGGCAATCATTCGTTATTTTTGTTGTAGTTATATTTTATATGTGTATAAGTAAAAGGAAAACTATAGAAAAAGACTTGGAATACGGAGATATATATTAAGAAACTATTGACAAGACAGAGTTGAAGTACATAAAAGACTGTACCAATAACAGTAAAATTTAATACAAATAAAATAAAATAATACATTTCGATACAATTTTTTTTTTATATAATTGAAATCATCGTCAATATGACATTATGTGACACCCGTGATACATCTCATATGTTATAATTCCGAAGACGTCATGCCTCTTAACCTGTAATATGACTGTATAATCACTTCAAAAAGAACACAGCTTTCAAAGCAAGCAGGTTGGCAGCTGAAATAGGTAAGACCGAGGTAACCACGAAGGCAACTTATTACAAGGTATACTTTAGTAGAAATGACTATAATAAAGAAAGTAAAAAGGAATAAAAAATGAGATCAGTTGAGTTGCTTGTCAGAGATAGTGATCAAAATTTATGACAGGCAGAAGTAAATAAAAAATGTCCATTAACTTTGACATTATAACTTTTAACTTTATCTATGGTTTCTATCAATCTTTTAATATGAAGATTTTGATTACAAATGTTTCATTTTACGGTGCAATTTTTCAATTATATTCTTTTACACTAACTTTGTCCTGACAATTAAAATACTAAAATAAGATAATATAGAATGTAGCAGTTTTGAAGTATTGTGCTTATAATCTTAGTATATTTAACAATTAAATTATATAGGTTTATACAGAAGATTTGTTTTAGGACAGTGTGTAGCAGATACTATTCTTCTCTGCACTTGTGTAGTGGGATGAAGTTATGCGACACATGGTTCTAAAAAATGTTGTAAAACAATTTATAATAGGACTAGCTGCAAACGTTAAACCAGCAAACGTTGTTTTGCCGTATAAATTAATATCGCTACTAAATAGAGTAATAAGGGTTGATGGTATAAGGGTTGTATGTATTTTTAAATGCCAAATATTTGTATAGTACAAAAAGACGCTGCCGCTGTCTGTTGCCTTATATGTTTTAAATTACGCAACTGATTTTCATGCAATTTTTACCAACAGATAGATTAATTCAAGAGGAAGGTTTATAATACATGCGTGTTGTATATAATAACCGAGAAATTAAAAAATATATGTATGGCTATGTAACCTAAGCTTATTTATGTAAAAAAAAAAAGCCTTATAGGCTAATAAAGCGTTATAGGGCCGTTTAGGAGCTTAGATGCCACAGACAGGCATACAGACAAGTCAAACTTATAACACCCTTGACTTTGGGGTTTTAAAAATAGTTTTACTATTATTTTTAAACAGCTATAACTTTAAGACAATGTGTCACACATATTACTTCATCCCACTAAACTAAAACTCTCTTAAACAATATTCTCGTGTCGCAATATACTTAAAGAGTTTCAGAGACACGTTGAAACACATGAAAAGTTCAATTAAATGCTAATAGCAATTTGAATG